TCTGTCACGCGACTCTGTTGCCCTTTCGGGGTTGAACTGATGGTAAAACTAACGACATTTTTAACTGTCTTGATATTTACTTTGAAAGCTGACGCTCGCGATTATGGTAAGAGGCGTTACATTTCCGACGCGTGCTTGTGGTGTTCGGCCAATCACAATGCACTGGGTCAGCTGGCCAATGAGAGCAGACTGCGCTTGTCAAAGGAGGGGGCTTTGTTGAAAACGACGTGTTTGAGAGAGGCGGGGCATAGAGGACCTACAATAATGTACAGTATTTGAAAAAGAATGTGTTGCTTGTCAAAGGAGGGGGCTTTGTTGAAAACGACGTGTTTGAGAGAGGCGGGGCATAGAGGACCTACAATAATGTACAGTATTTGAAAAAGAATGTGTTTTTTGAACATTAAAGCATGTCAACATATTCTGTTACACCAAATACACAAAATAATGATCTTTAAAATAGCATCATATGACCCCTCTAAGTAATTTATATTAATCTTGCTATGTGCTTTTAGCATTTAAAAAAAAAAAATGTATTAACTGTCTTTAGCTTTAAAGAGAGAGTTCACCCAAAAATGAAAATTCTGTCATTAATTACTCACTCTCATGTCGTTCCAAACCCGTAAGACCTCCGTTCATCTTCAGAACACTAAATAATATATTTTTGATGCATTCTGAGAGCTCTCTGACCCTCCCATAGACAGCAAGGATCCTTACACGATCAAGGCTCCAAAACGTAGCAAGGAGATCGTTAAAATAATCCATGTGACATCAGTGGTTCAACCGTAATTTTACGAAGCTATGAGAATACTTTTTGTACGCAAAGAAAACAAAAATAATGACTTTATTCAGCAATTCGTCTCCTCTGCGTCACCCTACAGCGCCATTTTGGAGAGTATCACGTAAACAACGTATGTACGCATATACGTTGTTTGTTCAGATCAAAGCGTAAACAGCGTATCTGCGTACGGTGCTGCTGACACAGAACAGCATACGTTGTTTACGTATGTGATACTCTCCAAAATGGCGCTATAATGAAGGTCTTACAGGTTTGGAACGACATGAGTGAGTAATTAATGACCACATTTTTTTTGCATTTTTGGGTAAACTATCCCTTTAATTTACTTGCATCAATCTCAAACAGCTTAAAGGGTTAGTTCACCCAAAAAGCATTTTTGTAAGAAAAATATCCATATTCAAAACTTAATAATTACTTGAATCTAGCTTGCGCTCACTGTCGTAAAGGGAAGCAGTTCCGTGGGAATGACATATGGAGGTCGGCTTTGCGCATGCGCCACGTATGTCAAATTCCCGCAATTTCAAGAATAAATACTGAGATAGTTCACCTAAAAATGTAAATTCTGTAAACATTTACTCACCCTCTTTATCATTCCAAACCCATAAGACTTGATTTTTCTATGGAACATTTTTTGAGAGAAATGTCAAATTTTTTTCTTTTTGTCAATACAATGGAAGTCAGTGGTCACCAAAATTGTTTAGTTACCATCATTCTTCAAAATACCTTTGATATTTGCACTGGTTCCTGTCCTCAATCTGGCAACCCGCGTGAGCGTCGAGTCTGAGGAGGAAAAACAGCTCCTGTATTTTGAATTTGGACTGCAGTACCCATTTCAACCGTTAGCTGTCAGTAGTGCACCTTTGGCATACTAAAATTGATTCCCGTAGGAGCGTGATGGTTTTAGAATTCAGTGACTAAATGAGTAGACAAAGACAAAGTATAAAACCAATTTATTTTAAAATAGTCCCTTGTACAAACTAAAAGATTGTTCGTAATATAGGCTTAAGGCAAAGATCTAGTTGCTTTAAAATCATAGAACACAAAAGTACTATACTGTAACAATTTCAGGTTTTTATTTTATTAACAATATGTATAGAATGGATTTTGTTTGACAGAGTACTGATAAGTGGTATATATACATGGAGACATGAAGAATTTTAATAAATATAGACTTGTCCTTGTTTTGGTTTAGAAATCCTTTGAAATAGTAAATTAGATTAAATTCATTTTTCTGTAGAAGGGAGACACTCAGATGATTAAATTCTCAGATAGACTCTCAGGCTGAGAAGGAGCAGATGCTGGAGGATACACTGCCATTGAGACTGGACTGTTCAGGTCAGCACATTGCAGCTCGTCATCACCTAAAATCAATGGACATTATTCATTTCTTCAGACAAATAAATAAAATGCTTAATTTTATAAATGAACCACCCATTAATTAATGAAGACCCCTGTTGAAAACAAAAGGGGCATTTCTGCAAATACCTGTATCAATGATAAGGCTTTTTTGAGGCATGTCTTCCTCCTCATCAGGCCCCAGATCCTCAATCAGAATCTCCTCCAGAGGTTTTTCACTCATTGTTTCCTCTGGCGCCGGCTCTGGTTGTGGCTCAGCTGGTAATAAAGGCAGTGTCTCTGCTATTGTGGGTAATACAGGTTCTGTGATAAGAAGTGTGACAGGAAAAGGATCTGTTTCCTGAGCCAGACCGAGATCTTCTGGAATAACTACAGGCGGTTCTTTTCTTGGTCGACCTTTCCTTCCTGGGGTACCACTGGTCTTCTTTTTCACTCTTTTAAGACTTTGTGCCCTGTGTTCAATATTAAGGGACATTATTTGAATGACTAATCTAAATTTGTGCATTTGCGTCATAATATCAGAATGTCATATAAATTGAAAAATAAATAAGTGCTCTAGGCCTTTTCCAGTGCTTTTATTGGCCTAATTCAACATTAGCTTTACCCAAAAACCCACTGGTTGGTTGCCTTTTCCTCTGCCTCAGCCTTTCGTTTCTTCAACAGGTCTCTGTCTCTCAATCGCAGCCGAATTCCACCTACCAAACAAACAAATCACTCACTCCTTTGCTGCTTTGTCTGCTGAAGGTATTGCAGTTTACTTTGTAACATTAGCTAAGGTAAAACCAACCACAAGTAGTCAGAATTCATAAGTGTATGAAAAGGCCATCAGTGCATGTTTCAGAAGAAATGTAGATGCATTGACATAGATAAGAATCACGCCAGTTATAGTTGTTGCCAGCAAACAAAAATATATTCTAAGAACATTTTGCTAATGTTCTCATTATGTTATAAAATCATTATTTATTGAGGTTCTCTGAACATTCAAAATGCAGGGTTTTTTTCCCCTTGGCTATACGCTAACGTTTAGGGAACATTCCATTTTATTATTTTGCAAACATTATGGGTATGTTCATTTTTAATGTTATTAAGTATTAACATTTAAAAACATTAGTCGAGTGTCCAACTAAAAGCGTTTCAGAAAAAAACATTCCATGAGTGCTGTATAAATAACATTTTTGTGCCAACGTTACTGAAAGAACTTTTGTTCATAATTTTGTG